GCCTCTGCCTCCCAAGTGATGGGATTAAAGGCATGTGCCACCAACGCCCGGCATGCCTCAGCCTCCTAACTGATAGGGTTTTAGGCATGAGCCACCATGCCCAGACCTTCCAAACAATAGACTTTCAAAATCAAATATTTTACCTCTTTTTCTTAAGTAGTTACTTTCACAACTGAATCATATGTGGAATGACACAAGCAACAAACATAAATAATTCAATTTATCTTAAGCAACAATTGTACATTAAACCTCACTGTTACTAACATTTAATTGTAGCTCCTTCTATATACTAAATCTATAGTATGTTATTTTAAGTCATTCTTTACCTTGATAATTTTGAAGCTTGGAGCTATTACTTGTATCAAAGGTCAAGCTACAGGGTGTAAAATCATGGGAATGTGAAAATGCATAATCACTGTATAAATGGGTGACTTACTGTGACATAAAATTGATTAATCTTTTTAATTACACATTAATTTGGAAATTTTGCTTTCTGAATTATTAACACTAAAACATCTCAGTGTTTCATACTTAATTTTATTTTGCAAAGCCTAATTTGGTTTTAATTCCATAACAATCATGATATAAACAAATGACTTGCAATATTGTTTTTAGTCTTATAATTTGGCTGGGCAAATATTTATAAGAGTAATGAGTAACACCATGGCCATTATTGGCAGGTGTGTTTAAATGCCCAACCATAGTGCACTGTAAGACTATGTGAGTCCTTGATCCCAGCTGCCATGCTTAGTGTTATACAATCACTGTGTTTCTATTCTGGGTGTGATCATGCATGACTGTTTGCCATACTGCATGTCTTTGCTTTTTACTCAGTCTTCTTGGATCCATTTTCCCAATGCCTCGTGTAATCTATGCTATGGCGGAGGATGGGTTGCTTTTCAAATGTCTAGCTCAAATCAATTCCAAAACGAAGACACCAATAATTGCTACTTTGTCATCGGGTGCTGTGGCAGGTGAGAGCATTGACTTTTACTAAGGAAAGGGGGATCGTTTTCATCAAGAACTCTGGAAAATGTGAACAGTTAGGTGGTTTTCTGTTTTGATTAACATATAGCTCAATAACTTTGTGACTTTCCTATTTTGATTTCTTTGTGTACCTATATGTACCCTTGCAGAATAATACTCAACTCACATTGGATTATGAATTTTTCTGTTCTAGTCTTCTGGGTTCTATGTTCCCCTTACCCCGCATTCTGTTTGCCATGGCCCGGGATGGCTTACTGTTTAGATTTCTTGCAAGAGTGAGTAAGAGGCAGTCACCCGTTGCTGCCACGTTGACCGCGGGGGTCATTGCTGGTAAGCCTTACAAACACAGGTTTCTCCATCATTGGACTAAATGTGCTGTGCACATGCATGGACTTAAAAAGGGTCTGCATGCTGTGCATGTAAGTTAAGAGCAAAATCATGGGTAAATTAATGTGTGGGTATTGGGATTAACATCTGACAATTACGGTGATGGTGAAAACACTGAAATTCGTTCATAGCTAATCACTGAAGATTCTGTTTTTACTACTTTTAACCGTTCAGGTATCTAACCAATGTGTGCAAAGAGTTGTGAATGACTCTACACTATGTATGAGGTATCACCCTTCTAATTGATGAATAAGCACATAAAGTTATAATTCGGGCACCGAAAAAATTTCTAAATGGAATCATGGCTTAATATTGGAATTACTGATTTTAAAATAATGATTGTAGGACTTTTGAAAAGCTAAACTACTTCAATTCTTATGCTAATGTAAGAAAAATGCCAAAGATAATCTGAAGTTGGTTGTTGTCCTCACTGCCCAGAGTGAAGTGCATTGCCCAGCAGGGTTAGACTTTCACCTTCTCAAGCCCCAGTAGGAACCTAGTTGTCCTGCAATAGTTGAGACATGTAGGTTTTGCTCCTAGAATCCAGATTGCCTATGTTTTGATATGCTATAATGTCCATGCTAACTGCCTCTGACCAGATTCTTAGAGCATGTGGAAATTTCCAGGGATGGTATGAACTGAGTCAATGGTCTTAAGGGCCTGACACAGGAAGAAGAGAAAGACTGCAGTGAGCTTCGTAGCAAAGTGAATTGAAGCTGCCTGAGGAGCAGGTGTTCAAATAAAATCTCTGACTTTGTTGAGACTCTAATGTGCTAGGAAGTTGGGATCAAGAATGTTTTATTACATACCCAGCCAGTGTTTCTTTCAAGTCAGGAAGCATTTGTCTATGTAGTTTTCGCCTGGCAGATCTTCTAAATCTGACACTTGAGACATATGTGAGAAGGTCAAATCACTTATTTTTCTCAGGCTTAAATTTCTGCCGCAATAAAATGAAGATTCTTCTAGGTCAGTGGTTATCAACCTGTGGGTTTCGCCCCCTTTGGGGTCACGTATCAGACATCCTGCATATAAGATACTTTATTTTGCCAGTAGAAAAATTAGTTATGAGGGAGCAATGAAACAATTTTATGGTTGGGGTCACCATAACATAAAGAACTGTACTAAGGGTCTAAGTATTAGTAAGGTGGAGAACCACTGTTTATTTTAATGTTAAAGATGAGCCAAGTCATAAAGAATTCTCCACAAAGTGAAAACCTTTCCAATTAATAATTCTACTCGGGATATAGAATTTTAAAGATAATTTAACTTTTCCTTCATTTAGGAAGAATGGAATTTAACAGGATAATAAGACAGTTAATGGTGGAATGCTTTCTAAAATATTGTGTCTTTTACATTTCTTACACCCAAAATATTTTAAATTTAGATCAGAGAGTTTATATGAATAATCAGCATTTGGCTTTTTGTGGTCATTACAAGCAGGCTAAAATTTCATAATCTGTTATATGGTTATACTAGTAATGAAGTCTTTGCTGAGTGACGCATGTGGTACATATTCAGAAAGAAGATGAAATACTGTGTGGTTTTAAGGACAGGAAAAGCCCTGTCCATATCTACCCATTGTAAGCTTACATCAGCCTGTCTATAAAACAGGAATAATCCTATCAAGGAAGACCGTGGGAAGTTGCTGGATTTGGTAAAAATAAATAAATAGTCAAATAAAAAGTAATTTCCTCTGCCTCTTAGGGTCATTGAAGATAAAGTGAGTTCATAGACTACAAAATCTGTAAAAAGTTCTAGGACACCATATAAATTGAACATGGTGTTATCTATTTACGGAGATAGGGAGTATTATGTAGTAAGTTCAACTAATGCAAGGTATTTTTACTTTTTAACATTGTCAAGATTCTGTGTACAGGATTGTAAGTTGATCTTTCACATATAATCAGTCTTCCAGAGCATGTGACTTTAATTTGATTAGTGTTAACTTACATCCAAATTGTGATTTCATTGAAAAATAAGTATAATTTTTGTAAAGACTATTTAAAATGTTTTGAATTGCATATGACTCGATACAGATGGAACTTAAAGTGATTATATAACTTGTAATGAGAAAACTGGTATTTCCTAGCAAATGTTTGTTTGCCTTCCGAGACTTCAAAAGACAATATTCTGTCATATAATACTTTCACACTTGGTCAAGCCGAGTTTGTTTTAAATAATCATACCAGATGTATTCAGTACTTCCTAAAGAGCTGGGGTCTTTGAAGTCTTAGTGTTAGCAGTTTATATGACCCAGAGACCATCTTACAATGTTGTGATGTTGATCTGTCATTGGTACCAAAACAGAAAAGTGTCAGTCTGCTGTTCCTGAGTGAACAGCTATAAGAAATGTCCTCAGAGGCCTTTGGTTTGACCTTTTTTTATCTGTTTCCCAACAGCTGTGATGGCTTTCCTTTTTGACTTGAAGGCTCTTGTGGACATGATGTCCATCGGTACCCTCATGGCCTACTCTCTGGTTGCAGCCTGTGTGCTCATCCTCAGGTGAGTGTCTGTTGGTTCTGAAGGGCATTTGCTAGGTGGGATATAGTGAGTAGAGACAGTAAGGACTGCAAAGAGCCAGCGGTTTCACCAAAGTGGAAGGCCATGGCCATTAAAGCAGTACGATGGGGTATAGGAAGCAGACATAGCTTTTAGCAAAACATCAAGTAGAGTTTGAGCCTTCCTGATAGCTTGTCCCAGTCACCAAGGCAGTTTATTAAAATGTACATAAACATGTTGTATTTTTGGAATTGTAAATACTAGCAGACTGACGAACAGATCCCTGTTCTTGACTACTACACGCTATTGCCTTTGTTATATTAGCAATATTGCCTGAATTTTTTTCAAGTCAATAAATGTACATCTACCAAATATGTGTGTACTTATTAGTACTTTTGGCATTAATAATTTAGTGCTAAGGAAAGACACCAACAAATAGATGTAAATAATAGTCACAGAAAAAGTAGCTTGACAAGTATAAAGAAAACATGAATATGAGTAACAGCAGGAGAATAGAGGCATAAATAAAGGTACTGTATCCAGTGGCTTCTTCTACAGGAAAAACTCATGTTTTGGTATATAGATAACTATTCCAATTTGAATAGACAAAGCCATAGCATTTGAATTTGCTTAAATAACATTAGAAATTTACATTAAGAAATAATGTTTATGGATGCATAAATGCCAGGATGAACTTGTCCCAAAAATGCTAACGATGATTAACTTAATGGTGCTATCAGTCATTGTGACTTCCTTCTGTATTCTTTTGTGCATTTTCCTTGGTGAGCTCATTTCTTTACATGGTGGGGGGGCTTGTTTCTGAAATAAGCAAGGGCTACAGATACTAGGAAGAAAAGCAGGCTATATGGATGCGCTCTAGAGGAACAGGGCAAATAACAGAGGAAAATGATGCCCATGGGGTAGTTAGGTGGCCAGGTAGCTAAGTGAGCATCTCTGGATGGAGCTAGATGAATCAGGACACATGGGCAGAGGGACAGACTCTGATAGGAGTCTTTGAGTTTGAAGCCCCAGGCTCTGTACTCTGTAGCTGGTGGCTGCTTCTGTGCTGTGTTCATGGATTACAATTCCATTGGGCACCGGAGGCTTCAGATACCATCTGGTACAATCATTGCTTCATCTTAATTTTAACTTTACTTTTTGACATCTACTGTATAACTTTCTGACTAAGCAGCAGTAAGAGAAAATTCAGAGTTGCCGTTCAGATTTGATGGAAGAGGTTTGTAGCCTGGCTCAGCATACTGTGAGCTGGAGACATGAGATGTGTCACCTGACTGCACACTAGGTAGCTTTGTAAAGTGTTTCACTGAGGAGTTTATGGTGACAATTTCATTTGGGCTGATGAGAGTAAAGATGGCGATATTTATTTGGGGATAGGTACCAACCTGGCTTGTGTTATGAGCAGCCCAAATACATCCCTGAGAAGGAAATTCTGGAATCCTGTACCAGTGCGACTTCGAAAAGCGAGTCCCAGGTCACCATGCTACAAGGACGGGGCTTCAGCCTCCGGAACCTCTTCAACCCCTCTGCTCTGCCCACACGACAGTCGGCTTCCCTTGTGAGCTTTCTGGTGGGATTCCTGGGTAAGTCTTCGCTGCAGGTGTCGAAAGGCCAAAAGATATGAGTGTGTGGAACCAGTGTATGTGGAAGGCAAAGGATGAGGCCTCACATTGTCTGGGATATGTTAGCCAATTTGAGACATGAAATTTGACCTAGAGAGGTACTGGTAGTTGAGGTTGTATTATATTATGTAGGAAGAATACCAGTGTGACCATGGCAAGGTGGGAGTTAGAAAGAGAATTCCCCAGTAGCTTCCTATACACAGTGACAAATAAGAGACCCTACCTCCAACAAGGTGGCAAGTGGCAACCAACATCCAAGGCCATGTTTTGTCCTCATGTGTGCTATGACACACATGCTCCCACAGTTGCACACATGCACACAAGAGCAAGGAATTCCTACAGTAAGAGTTGTAGAATTATAAACTGGCATACTCCATTAGTGCAAGGTGCTCCCTGTGTTAAAGAGTCAGGTCAGGTAGCAGAACTGGAACCCAATGGTATTGGGAAACAACATAGGGAAGATTTGTTTGCGCATCTGGCTACCTAATCTTCTATAAGTTTAGTGACATTTGCCAGGCATTATCTGTGTGCCAAGGACTGTTCTGGGCACTTGGAGTAGTGAGACAGACTGTTCTTGCTCCTGAAGATTGTACAATAAGGTCATGGCAAACAAGGGAAGAACAGGTTTCCCTGAGAGTGAGTAGGAGGGGCTTTTATTGCATACTTGGTGATCAAAAGAAGCCTGATATCATTGCCTGGAATGTGGAAGAGAGATTCAGATCATGTGGTATTGTTTGTTTGCATTAACAAATAGCCTTCCCTGGACACATGGGGAAGGGCCTAGGCCTGGCCCAGGATGATGTGATAGACTTTGGGGAGCCCCTTTTGAGGACCTTCCTGCCTGGGGAGTGGAGGGGGGATGGCTAGGGACAGGTGGGATGTTGGGGGGGAGGGGTGGGAGAGGGAGAAGGGATTGACATGTGAAGCAAGCTTGTTCCTAATTTGAACTAATAAAATAAAATAAAAATTAAAAAACAAAAAAAACCAAATAGCCTTCATAATAGCTTAAAATAAGCAAAGCTGCTATACTTCATTTGGAAAAAAAAAAATGGAAGCCACACACCACCAGAAACATCCTATCCATATGGTCTGAGAATAGGAAATTTGGATCCCTGGTCACATGACGGACAAAGCAGGATGTTAGTGCCAAATGAAGGAAGAGGTTGGCTTCTGAAAAGACAGAAATGAGAACATGTACATGATTCTTAGATGGATGAAGTGGACTGACTCTTTTTCACAAAAGAAAAGAAGTGGGGTGGGGGTCTGTGTGGCAAAGCAGATGATAAAGAACTTGATGTTGTACCCGGATAGGCCACTAGAACTGAGAAGCATGAGGGAAGGGTGTGTGCTGACTCTGCCTTGTGTACTGACCACCACAGCCTTTCTCATCTTGGGCATGAGCATTCTAACCACGTATGGAGTCCAGGCCATTGCCAGACTGGAAGCCTGGAGCCTGGCTCTTCTTACCCTGTTTCTTATCCTCTGCACTGCCGTCATTCTGACCATTTGGAGACAGCCACAGAATCAGCAAAAAGTAGCCTTCATGGTATGTGAAAAAATAATTAGAAATCTTAATTGTTGTCTACACTCCCTCTGTATGTTGTCTGTGTTTGTTTAATTCTTCTAAACAAAAGCAAGCAATGAACAAGCCTGTCAGATTCTTTATGAATTCCTTTTAGTCACAGTACATGCGTTGTCTCACTTCCCTTCTCAAAAACTTGAGCATGCATGCATATATACATACATACATACATACATACATACATACATACATACATACATACATACAGTGAACAAATTTTGTGTTGAACAGTCTGTAATATTAGAAAAAATAATTCATGAGATTCTGGGTTTAATCCCCAGCACTAAAAATTAAAAGTTAAATGAAGATGGAAAGAAGGTAGTTTGAGGGTTTTATATTCAGAAATTTGAAGCCCTCTTGTGAGGATCTATTCCCACCAGCTGTCTTCATCTGCAAGTTAAATTATCCTGCCCCAATGGAACTAGCAGTAGGCTTGAATGTGGACAGAGCTTTTTGGAAGGGAACCCCAGGATGCTACATGTATCCAGAGTTCCAGAAGCATTCCCTATTGATGACTAAATGAGACCATTAACCTCTGAGCTACACGGATGCCTGCACCCTGTGGTGTCTTGATGATAATCTGCTGGTGTGATGGTGTTTCAGCTTCAGCCAGTAATGGGAAAGGACATTTTCCTTTCACTAGTTTCTATGGGGATGGTATTTGTTCAGGGTCTCATTTTTTGAAACTATAAGCTTAGTGATATGATTAGATATCAGCTATCTACACCCCTTGAACTTACTTGGAGAATATGCTTTTACAGTAACACTCTACTCAAAGGATGTTTTGTTCCCCTAGGTCCCATTCTTACCCTTTCTGCCAGCCTTCAGCATCCTGGTCAACATTTACTTGATGGTCCAGTTAAGTGCGGACACTTGGGTCAGATTCAGCATCTGGATGGGGCTTGGTAGGTCTCGTGATGCCTTACTCTTCTGGAGTTTGGTTCGCCTTGCTTTGTGGGCTGTGGCTACAGAAATGGCTTCTCTCCCTTCCTAAAACTGAAGGCTCTGTTCATTTCCTCCCATTCCTACTCCATCTCGATGTTTGCTTTACCATTGTTTCATGATGCTTTTTCTTTGGTTTTTCTTCCCTTTCTTTCTCTTTTCTTTTGTGCTGGGACTCACCCCAGGCCCCAGACATGCTATCACAGGCCTCTGTCACTGAGCCACATCTCCAGCCCTCCAGATGCTATTTTTCATCCAAACTCCCACAGTAACCCTGGAGTCCACACAGATTCTGTCTTCTCCAGCTTATGAATGAGAAAAATGAAGCTCCTGAATTAGTTGTCATAACAATGCCAAACCCTTACCCGGCTTTCTAAACTAGGACTAAGCATGGGAATATATGTATTTATAGGTAATTATCTTCTAAGGACACTTAAAACATTGCCTCCTTCTCCCTACAGTTAGCATGGCTGTTGACAGTTCTCGGGCTGTAAGCCTCCCATATGACAGTAACAGGTAAAAGGGTGTCCATGTCCATTGTGAACACAGGGCTTGCCCATGACTCTGATAACCACTGCTGGGGTTTCACGTGTGTCATGTGTGCCTCCCCCATGATTCTGCTCAAAGTCATTCTGTTGAGTTTTGAGAACATAAGTGGGAAATTTCCACATAGCTGCTGTCTGAAAATACTCGATGAGAAAAAAATATATTCTATAAGGTTGGGGCGTTAGAAATGAAGAGCTGCTTTCTAGCCAGATAGGAGATCTGTGTGCAGCATCTGATTTTTACATTCTGTTTCATTTTTATTTAAACGTATTTTTATTTGTTTTTTATTTTTATTTAACTATATTTTAAATTGAAATATAATTATATTACTTTCCCTCCTCCCTTCCCACCCTCCAGCCCCACCCAGGTACCTCCCTCTAACCCCTCCCGTCTACCACACACACACACACACACACACACACACACACACACATAAGTTTTAAGTTGATAGCCTCTAGAATCACAGGCAACAGCTAACAACTGCTGAGGAAGGAGAGTTAGCCTCTCCCAGGGATGAGCCCCCTTATTGGCTGTCCAGTGCAAAGTGGTCAGCCCTGAAACCATATCCGCATGGGTAGCAATGGCAGACTTAGTCGGTTGTATTTATATATTGTATATGCACACATTCTCTTTTTCCAAGGTTGCACAGAGACAGGGAGACTTACTATATTGAGTTGTCCACATTAAAACATTTCCTAACACATTGATACGCTTTCCCTCCCCAAAGGCTTCCTGATTTACTTCGCTTATGGCATTAGACACAGCTTGGAGGGGAACCCCAGGGATGAAGATGATGATGAAGATGTCTATGCAGATGACATCAGTGCAGCAATAGAAGAGAAATCCGCCATGCAAGCAAAGGACCATCACCAAAGAAGCTTCAGTTTACCTTTCATATTCCATGAAAAGACAAGCGAATGCTGACATCACTTACAAGGAGAAAACTATGGCAGGCTGTCACCATCATGTTGGGATGTCATGGGTTTGTTGCAGACATGGTTCACCTAGCTTATAATTTCTCCTCCAGATAGCTTCTCTTTAGATGGTGAATTATGTGTCTGGGGAAAGTGCCTGAGTGCACTGCACTCCTCAGCAACGAGTACCCCTAAAGTAATGTGCCTGTGTGCATACATGTATATTTGGGACTGTTTGCGTGTTACATGTTGTTGGTTTTTATTACTATGTGACATTATTCCAGTGTTGTAATGAGTGGCGTACACTTTACGTACTAGAGTATGTTGCTGAATAGAGGTGTATTCTATATATGCCTAGGTGGTAAGAAAATAGTGATGGTTTTCTCCTTATTAGGTCTGTGGCTGGCAATTTGGACTTGCCAAAAATGCAGCCACCTGTCATGATGTTTAGCAGTGGACAGGGTCGAGGAAGAAATAAGGGCGAGCCTTTTCTGTATATTACAATGTCCCAGCAGAGTTATCACACATTTTCTTCTCCTATTTGCTAGAACAATTTACTGAAACTTCAGCCAGGGGGAGTGTTTGTTTCTTCTGTGTGACAGGATGGAGAAAGAGTCTGTGGCACCAGATGGTTACTCTTGTTTTTGAGAGCCTTGGCCCTAACCCTTCCACCTGCTGTAAGTGATATGCTCTCCCAACCCCAACCCCAACCCCAACCCCAACCCCATCAAGGGCCCAGGAGGGGCATCAGGGCCTACTTGGGACCCTTTAAGCCAAAGAATGAATGAGGTCCCATCCCATGACTTGAGGACCAGAGAGACATAGACAGAGGTTCAGGCAGGCTTTCTGTTTTTAAAAGTGAGTGAAGACAGTATAAGCCCCCATGTCACACATTTGGTAAAATGGTTCAAGCTGTTTTCTGTTATTTAATACCTAATCACAGCTCATCATCTATCACCTCATCAATCACATAACTCACTCTTTTGCTTCTGATTTTTTCTCTGATCTAGATGGAAATGGACATGTTAGCAAATTCTATCTTTACAATATGCAAACAAAGAAAAAGATGAAGGGGTGTAGGAAAATACCATTAGTCCAGTCTCACTGGGCATTTGGGCCTCTGATGTTTCTTATAGAAATGTTTAGAGATTCCTGCCCCCACCCTGTCCCATCATTTATCACTTTTTGTTCCATTTGCCTTTAAATGACCACATTAAGCCTATTAACACAAGCTCTGATACTATACAATTAACTCATCAATTACTTTCAGAACACAATTATTTACAACTTTGAGTTAAATAACCAAACTGAATTTAAAAGCACGGTGATCTTTGTATGTGATTAAATAAATTTTATATGTAAGATTCTCTGATTGCTACATTTTACTTTATAGGGTTCTCTGATAGTATATTATAAATCTCCAGTTATAAATCTCATTCTTATTCCTCATGAGTTAATTTTGTAAAAGTAATTAAATGGTTTATTAGGTAAATCTAGAGGCTGGACACTTAACACAGACGTGGCACTCCCAGGAGACAGTTTGTTACTAAGAATGCTAGTTTCCCTGCATAATCCAAAAACAAGGAAAACAGCTGCTTTCTCGTAATTCTTCTAAGAGATCATTTATTTTACTGATGCTGTTTAAAAGCAAGTTGCAACCCTTTGTGTGGAAGTAGGCATTTATTGTAATTAATGATCAGATGAGCAGGCAAAGGTTCTGGGTTCCCAGCTACTGGGGATACCTCCCTAACCCAGGGCTTAGTACTGACATTCTGAAGCTTCCAGGGTACACTTGATAACATCTGCAGCCCAGACATCTTTCCAACTGCTTGCTTTACTACAGGAGAAAAGTTGGAGAAGCAAAGGCTAAAATAGTTTGCGAAGGAGTAGGCATGATCAAGAATTCTTGCTGTCGTTAATGGCTGCCCAGAGAGGGAGAAGCAGGGATGAGCTCCTTGATCTGTTATGTAATTCCAATTGGTCACTATTAAACACTTGTATATACAAGCAATACTAAATAGACTTGGCAGGCTGTGTACACACACACATGTATGTGTGTGCAAAAATAATAAAGAATAGGTCATGGATTTGATAGGGAGTGGGGGGAACTGGAGAGGGAAAAGGAAGGTAGAAATTATCAGAACTATATACTCATGTAAAAAATGCTCAAAATAATTTTTAATTTAAAAAAAAATCCTTGCTGTTACAGCAATGTCCTTCACACAGGAAATGTGAACAACTTCATACATGAATCTCTGAATTTCTTACTGTAACAAAACCAGATCTGCCTGGCCCATGATAGGCAACTAGAAGTGTTGTGGCCACTGTGTTCAGTTAGGAGCAGAATGTTCACATCAAAACATCTGGAAACACGGATGTCTGTGAACATGTTTTGTCATAGACCATGCTTTGTTTTTTCTGTGAAGACCCAAATGGGAAAGCATGTCTATATGTGTATAATGTTTATAAACACATTGGCATATGTATGTGTGATATATATTTGTTTGTGAATTTGTGGAGGGTGTTTGCTTATCAGTGTGTAAGTAAGTTGGGTTTTTGATAAGCTTTGGATGTGATATTGTTACATAGATTAAAAAAACACGATGTGGAGAGAAATTAATGTTTTATATTGATAGATATTTTAGATTTTAAGCTATTTTAAAAGATACAATTTTATATGTATGTTTTCTATAGACAAGATTCTTTAAGACATATTTATCATGTTTCTAATATGAAATCACTAAACTGTAGTATATTATGACAGGTGCTTTGGAATCTTAATGGAGTAGGGGTAGGAACCTTGGGGTGTTCTTGTTCATTTGTTTCTGTGGCACTGTCTCTGACACACATGTCCCTGTGTCTGCTTGCCAGCAAATGCCAGTACTGCCAGCTCTTTGCCAACCTTCTGTCCTCCCAAACTTTGAGTTCATAATTCTTTGAACAAACATCCTATTCTGTTTTATAGGAGCACCGAAATATTTTATATAGATTTGACTAGTGAGCAAATGATCCAGAATGTCAAATGTGGACATCTTTTATTCCTCATGGTGAGCAAAAGTAGCTTGTAGTGCTTTATTTTTTCTTACACTAAGAACTGTGTTGTTGGTATTTTCAGTGAGATTGTCTCATCACAGCACCTTAACTTCATACTCTGTGTAAAGGAGAATGATCTGGGAATTAGCAGATGAAGATCACGACAGCCACATATTTAAAAGGGCAGTTATGAAAGCTCAAGTTTAAGTAGTTCTAACTGTAACTGATTCAAGAAGACCAGCTTCTGAATTGTCTTCCTAAAGAATAAAAAGTTAGATAAATTTTATAGAGTCTTTATTTTAGCCAATTTTTTCCAAGCCCTGAAAGTTTGCTTTTTGTAACTTAAAATGTTTTTGAATAAAACTCTGTGATTCAGAGTTGTTACCCAATAATTTTCTAAGTTTGTCTGAACATTTAGCACAAGTAGTTGCCCTACAGTGCTAAGGATTCAGAAGGAATTTGGGCACCTTATCTTCTCCCTTTTTATATCGTAGTGTATACACGAGTGTGTGTGTGTGTGTGTGTGTGTGTGTGTGTGTGTGTGTGTGTGTGTGTGTGTGTACATGTGGTGGCTGTGTAAAACATAAAATTGGAGTGTATCCCAAATTTGCCACCCAGAAGATGAAGTTGCACTGAAATCCCAGCTCTTGCTTCTTTGCAATACACCTGGGGATTTCTCCAGATACACTTCAAGTGATAGTTCCCAAACTACAATTTCAACAGCACTTTAAAAGATTGGGTTTAGAGTGTTATTAATGGATGGTTCACATTCACATAGTTTGTAGGGGTTGGTGATATGAGTGACATTAACTGTTGTTTTTGCTAGTGCCAAAATAGTGCCTTCTCTGTACATTTTCTATTTTTATATATCAAATAATAATACTGAAATTCATGTAGTAAATAATGCCAGCAAGGGTCATCTTAGCTCTCAATGTGAAGATAAAATTGCTAGACTTTATTGTTTAATGAAGGTTTTTCCCCGTTATGTACTTATATTTAAAGAATTTAAAATAGTTTTGTGGGTTTTGAGAGGTCTGATACGACTGTTGTATTGCTGGTCTAGATGTTGGTTTTTGTAGTATTCATAATTGTTTATATTTACATAGTTTTGGTTTTATTAGTTTCAAATGTATTCTGTTACGGCATAACCTGATTTTAACCCTACTGGCCAGGAGTTCTGTACTTGTCTGTTCTTACTCATGGCCAAAGCCACTGCCACAATCTCTGGACTTTAAGCAGCTTTCTGACCACTGAAAGCCCCATAGAGATTCCAGCTAGGACCCCAGTGTGATGCCACATCCAAGCAACCTGCTGTGTGTGGGTATCTGTTCTTATACTCTGGTGGTGTCTATCCTTCACTAAGTATAGTGAAGAACTTCTAATGAATAGAAGCTCATCTGGGATCTTTAACTTCAGTCCCAAATATCTCATCAGTATATTAAGGTGAATAAGGACCAAGGAATGTCTTTGACCTCTGGAGGGGGTGGCTGTGTCTTGGAACTGACATGGTAGGGTCTGACCCTCCTGTATCTCCTGCAGGTACACAGCCTCAAGATGAGAAATGCATGGCCCAGACCCTGTTGGTGAAAAGTCTTGTACTGCCAGCAGGGTGGCTTTCTGTACCCACACCTCATTGATGGGCCTCTCATTTTTCATGTCCACTAGCAGTGCCAAATCATTTTATTGCTTTATTTTGTAATCATTATATTTAATAGCAGTTGTTCGTGGAGGCCTAAAACAATCCAGAACATCTACATCTAGAAAACCCTACAAGTACCCTGTTGTAAGTACTTGTGCAAATGTAAAGATGTTTTGTTCAGTAAATAATCTTGATGTTTTTAATGATAATTTCTATTCCTTTTTACATATAAAGTCGGACTCTTTTTTTAGAATTTGTAATAAAAACTATTGCTGCTTTAACTGTTATGTTACACTTTATAATGTAACCATGTGTTTTTAAATAAACCTTAATATGAC